GTGTTGGGTGGTGTTGGATGGTGTTGGGTGGGGTTGGGTTGGGGGGGGTGGGGTGGGGTGGGGTGGGGTGTTGCAATGTCTCCTCTGGATCCCCCTGCTCTCCCGGGGAGAGGTAGATCCGAGCAAAGGTGAAGCTGCAGCGGTGGATGGAGCCGGCCGCTGTAACCACGGAGCAAGCAGCATGTGCGGTGAGGAGAGAGCCACCGGCTATCAGATCCAGGCCGAGCGGCTCTCTCTCTCTCCTCACCGCTCGGCTTGCTGCTGTGATATCGGTTCTGACCTAGCCGCCGACTGCAGCTTCACTTTTCCTCGGATCCCCGCTGCATACAGATGGGGGAGAGCAGCAGGGATCCAGAGAAGACTGACAGGACATCGGGATCTACCAGTGATCACTACGCGATCGACTGGTAGAACGCGATCGACCTAATGGGCACCCCTGTTGCATGGGTTTAATGTACAGGTCATACACACAGGGAGGAGATAGTGTATGGGTTTAATGTACAGGTCACATACAGTAGTAGGATGGAGATGAGGGTGTTAAGAACTCCTGGAGAACTGTTACTTTACTTTCAGTGAAGCAGGCACATAAGAAAGTGATAGGACATCTATCCAAAGTGAGGGTAAATCCTATCTAAAGCAAGCTGAACAAGGAAAATCACTTGATTTTCCCATCCACAATAAACAGCAAGGACTAATCTTCTCTGCCAGGTATTGTTTACTGACACCAGGCACCCGCAGCTGTCACAATACAAGAACAATGATTGAAGCTGACTGGTTGCAGTTACTGCATGGAAATCCAAGCCATGTACGGCCAGCTTAAGACAGTTGTACTGGAACAAGTGTCCCCATTTGAAGATTTGTAAAAAGAACTGTAAAATAGTAGATTATCCATCCCTTCATATCCTCACAACGAATAAAAAAAATGGAATAAAATGTAAAAAAACAACATATTGCAGCTTATCAGTCCTTAGACGTGGTGGCTGCATGTGTTTTAGGTCCTTTTCCTTTATTTCAACTGTCTGTAACACACTTCCTGTCCTCGAAAGACAACCGTCAATCCCTGCACTGTATCTATAAAGGAGCAGCTTTGTCACTCTAGGGAGCTCTCCTGTTTTGGACTACAAAGTCTCCTCCACTCCTTGTCACCATTACATAGGGAACAGGGGTTCTGTCGTTCACAGAATATAGCTGGGAAAGGGGATAAAATTGCTTAAGATATCAGTTCAGTGCACAGGAAGGTACAAGGACACCAAAATGCTGGCAAGATCAACAGGTATTTCCCTATATATAATAAAGAAAATGTTCTTAAAAAAAGAAAACTAATGGAGCCACCACATGTAAGGACTGGTAAACTACTATATATAACATTTTTGTTCTTAGGTTCATTTGAGTATGGATGTGCGAATATCACCATCGTTCATGAATGTCTGCATACTATTTCAGCAAAAAAAAAGTATGTAGAAATCATACTTTGTCCAGCAAACTTTGTCAATAAACTCCTTCATTGTCATCTTGTCCCATTCTAATGCGTGTGGAGCTTTCCATGGTGCATCAGCAGGGATCTGAAAATATAAGAAAGTAATAAATTATAGATACATATGGTTTACATGTATAAATGTCAGAAATTGTGTGTCTCTAGACTGTTAGATCTTGGAGTGTTTACCTTTTTCTACCGCAGGTTGCCTCTCTGCTCTGTCCTTTGTCACCTTTTTGCCCCCCGCCTGTGTATGGATAGTGTAAGAGCAGCAACAGAAACATCATGCTTTAATAGATTTACTTGTGAACTGGTCACATTTTCAATGATCTCAGTCTGTTGTAGTCCTTAAACTGTTTTTTTCTTGACTTTGAATGTATTTGGTTTTTGCTGTGGACTCCCGACTGTTGTAGATTTAGGAGGTTCAACAAATGTTGTATTGCTTTTAACAGTCCCGGGGTGTACACAGCTCTGCCACACAAGATAGTCCTGTCTTGCAGGGTAGGAGATCTACAGATAAACAGTAAAAGAAGAAGCAGCACGCTGATGAGCTAATCTCTGTCACTCCGCAGTCTCCTCCTATTTGCATGCTCCTTGCACTGTAACATACCCATTGGCTCTGCGTGCTGCTTTTCTCTTCCCCACTCTCAGCTCTGCTGTACAGGGACTGCAAAAGGCTGATATCAAGTTTAATTTAGGAACTTACACTGCTTGCAAAAAAAAATGCATTTAATGATGTATTAATTTTCACAGAACTGCATTAATATGTCTTTAATATCTGCCTGGGGTAATTTAACTTTCATCACACCATTACTGAAACTAAACTGTGAATTAAGATCCAACTAAACATTACAATGCAGTGTCAAACAACATTAAACAAAAAGGCATTAACATTGACAAGCAGTGTTCAGCAATGAGTCCTGACCATAAATGGATTATACAACTGAGTCATGCCAGACGTCTGATAAATAACAGAACAGAGTAGGCAGTAATGACTTTCCTGCTCTCAAAGCATCAAACAGTTCAGTTAATATATTCAAAGTAACTATATTAACATTCTGCAAATTATTCATATTAACTGCTCTTTTTGTGCATTGTAGAGTCAATTCCTTTATCTACTGATGATATTCAGGACTTTAATTAGTCCACTAAACACTAGACACTAAACTTAGGAGTTAAAATCTTAAAAATACATTCTAGTACCTTTAACTTATAACAAAAATGTATGTTATTTGTTTATCACTCAGATGTAGATTCTCAAATCATCTCTGAAATGGTACTGACACTGTCCTTCCTTCGGTAGGGTGGCTACTTTTGTTCCCCATGGTCCCTGTGTGTGTTGTAAAGTAACCACCGCTCCAAGCTCGCTCCCATGATGACTACAATCTCAATGCAAATCCTTTAAACCCCACCCCTACCCCCCCCCCAAATCACCTGGCTTATTAAAGAAGATACCCAAAAATCCACTTTTATTTAACTGAACCCACGCTCACATGACATGCATGATTCCAAGTTTCTTTTCTTAGACCTCTTTAAGATGGTAAAATCAGGTGGTTGACCTGCATTTTTTCAACTCCCCAGGAGCCCACTGCATTATAAGCACTCTAGCCAGATGGTGCTGTATCCATTGCCACGGACACAAAGCTTTGCAGCATGGCAAACTTTATACAGCATGTTGTGTTTGCCAAGCCACATCACTATGGAAGTGAATGGGACCGCCAGCGGCGGGGCTCTCTCAGGCCCCAGAAGACTGCAGTGGTGTGAAGATGTCACTGCAAGGTATGTCGAGAAAACCAGGTAATCTTAGGCCCAGACTGCAGTGCTGGACCACTATACTGCACTCTCAGAAGAGGTAACGTGGAGGGATCAGGTGAGTCAAAAATTGGTTTTAAGGGTTTGTTTTGCATTTGTAAATGGGTAGGAGCGAATTGAGAGTGGGGTATGGAGGGGGATCCAATATGCACATATGTGGGTTTTAAACTGGACCTGTGGTTACAAAAAAAAATCCTGTATTCCTCTTGATCAAATTGAGTTGTGTGAATACAGACCTCTTTGCGGGCATATTGCCTTTTCACTGCCACAACTGCCAAGGAGCAGACAGGGTTTACACCCACTGCAGTGTTACAAGCAAGAGGGGCAAAATACAGGTTTTTGTGTGTAACTGCAGTTCCTCTCTCACATAAGGCAGACCGAAAACTCATCCATATGGGCTTAGCTTTGAGCATGATGCAGCTTACACCAAAGCAATCTATGATCACATTCCAGCTCTAAGCTAACTAATAATTGATTACAGCTTTCATATCTTGACAGCTGTTATGATTTCAGATCTGGAAGAAGATGGAAAAAATATTGTTGGAGTCTCATATAAGCTGCAGTGCCCAGAACTGACAAATTTGTTCCAATTTAATGTGTTTTTGTACTTACTTGCTAAATAGGTAGATAATTTTAATTTATGTACGGTAAGTAAATAAATAAGGTGAAGCTATCTTCAGTGCGTCAATTGCATGCAAGGGAAATTAAAAAACAAAAAACAAAGAGCTTTGCTTGCACATGATAGGATGATTGATGTGAACAAAGCTAAACCTTTTTCACCAACATTCTCTAATGCAATTCTCTACTCACTAATGTTCCTTTGGCTAATCAATCACCAATTTATTAGTGTACAATGGTTATTTGTCATTCAATTTTGAATGCTCCAACTTGCAGAAAATGTAAATAGTCACTGCTATCCATTGAGTAGTATATTCTAAATAATCATAGATACGCCAAATGGAATCATATAAACACAAGAACACAATTACAATTAAGCAAATGTATGTGAACAATGTGAAGGTCAAGATAAAAAAGGTAGTTCAAGGATCTCATATGACCATGACCTCTCCATACAACAGTCACAACCATATATTGTTTTCATGCAATTTTACCTCTTTTCCCCATTCATCGATTGTCCTCCACAGATGATTATAATCCAAAATCGCTAAAAGATTCCATGTTGGGGGGAATGACCCATGAAATGCATATGTTTTACCCTAAAAAAGAAAAGAAAAACATTGAAAGTAATTATATTCTTTATCTTATTCAAAAAAAATAATGGTAAAAATAATGGTTAAACAATATAGAGGTGCCACATAGAAGGAATTATAACTATTTTTAGGACTTTAAATAGGTTTTTGATCAACTGCTAAATAGACGAAGCATCGCTCTGCAAATAATTGTGGGTTTTGCAATTAACTGCAGTTGATTTAACTACTGGTTGTTCACACCATGTCGGGACCAGATCTGGACCAAAACATTTTTGTCCGCACCTGAATTGCAACCCAATGTATTCCTATAGTATTTCTGGGCTCTGTTCACACCGTTTCTGGTTTGGAACGCACCAAAATGCACGTAAACGCATCAAAAACACATGCAAATGCACTGGAATGCAGATCTGATCCAGATCTGGTCCAGACGTGGGGTGAAAAAGCCCTAAATATCCAGTTCAAGTTGTGAATCCTTGAACAATGCAACAAACATCAGAAATGTGGAGGGTACACATGACATTTCTTCCATACTTGCATTAACTAATACCAGGTTAGAAAACTGCTGGTAATAAGCAGAGTTTAAGAATCACACATGTAGAAAAGCTCCTAAATAGGGATACACCATAATTTTGGCCACCAGAACATTTCGTCAGAAAATGGTACTGTGGCCAAAATGCATATAGTACAAAAACTGCCTAAAATGCGGCCAAAAATGCGGCGCATCCCTAGCTTCTTTCCTCCCCACTGGGCGCAGACTGCAGTCTGTGTCACCTCTGATCCCCGCCTGCGTCAGCAGAGGGATCAGAGGGGACACAGACCTGATCCAGCTGCCGGCGCCCAGCAGGGAGGAGAGAAGCTGTCAGGAGGCCGAGCAGAGCAGTGCGGGGAGGGGAAAGCTGTCAGGAGGCCGAGCGTTGTGGGAGAAGAGCTTGGCTTATGACTCAACAGGACGTGCTATACATCACTTTTTGTTCATTCATGATTGTGGACATAGTAAGTATTTACTATTTGCTCACTTTATGAATGAACAGGAAGCAGCACAGTACAGAGGCTTCTTGTCCATTTATAAATGGGTTGATAGTAAATATCTATTATCCCCAGATTGTGAATGAACAGGAAGCCTCTTTACTGAGAGCTTCCTGTTAATTGAGTGCTAGGGCTGCAGAAAAAGAGATTGAGGACTCTGTGTCCTCAATCCCTTTTTCTATTTTAAAAGGGAAATATCAGGGGTCTGTTTAGACACCTAATATTTCCCCAAAGCCCCCGACTGTAAAGTTTAAAAAATAAAATAAATAAAAGATTGCAAAAAAAAAAGGCATTTTTGGTTTCGGCCTGACAAAATTTTTAAATTTTCAGGTTCAGCCTAAAAATTTCCTTTCGGGGAATTCCTACTTTTAAAGCCCAAATCCAGCTTGGGCAAAAACATAAAAACATTGATCCCCAGAGCAGCCTTCAAATAAAAAAAGGTGTTCTAGCAGCTTTTTTCACCCATTCTCTATTACTGTACCCCATTGACTCACCTGGTCACCAAACCAGACACGTAGTCATTGAACCCACTTCTCATAAACCCAGGGCATCAAGGCTCCACCCTGAGCTCACATGAGAATGCTGCAGAGAGGCTCTATGTCCTTACCTGACACCAATCTCTGCAGCATTTAGGATCCACCCACCGCCAGTTTTTTTTTTCTTTGCAACAGTACGTTGCCAAATATTTTCAAGTGAGTTGCATTTTTAAAGGATCCTATTCCATTACATATACAAAAAGCAATAAAAAATATAGCATCCAGGACTTTTAGTTAATACATCTCAATGCATCATGTGGGTGCACCAAACCCTACTCAAAACAATATAGGAATTTTTTGGATTTCTACATTAACAAATCTCAAAATGAGATTTACTTTTCACTTGACTAATAAATGCACATTGCCAGACAGCGGACCGATGCAGATGCAAATCATTAAAAATCCCTGTTAGCCTTAATCTTATGGAATTCAAAAATATTCCTTCTGAGGTTCTCTGAAAAATATATGGATCAGGCCATATTGCACTTCAACAGAATACTGTTGCAAACAGCAGGTAACAAAAAAATGACTATGTTCATCTTGTAGAGCATGTCAAAATCACATTTTAATTGTAAGTCTTGATGCATTGCTTGGCATACCTTCTTTTTCGGAAAACACCCTTTTTTTTAGGATATTATCCCAGAGGTTTTATTGCCCATTTACACTGTTGTTAATGAGCAAAGCATCTACATGTCATCACTTTAGAGGTAAAGAAGAACTCTGGGAAAACATTTACTTAACCCCTGCAGTGGGTTTTGCACCTAAACGAGCACTTAACTTGTGGGTAAGCCCCACTGCAAAAGGTTAAGAATTTGTTCCCCAAAGTTATTCTTTAACTGTAAATAATGGCCCTAGAATTATTCCTCTCATGTGCGGCAATACCCAACATGTGTGGCTGCTGGAAGTGATCAGGTGGCTTTAAAGCTGCTCTTAAGCAGTTTGGAGTCAGTTTAGAGGGGTGCTTTGCTGTAGTACTCATGTCAGTGGCAGAAAAAGGATTAAAAAGACCCCGTCAGCAACCTAAAAAAATGCAGGTAAAAGCACAGAGAAATCAAGTATATTAAATGCTTACTTGCAGCTTTTTACATTTTTATTCACTTGCAATAGGCCATTGAATTCTTCTCCAGAAGTCAATACCCTAGCACAACCCCCTTCCTCCTTGCACGTCGTAGCTCTCTCCTAGGAACGTCTAATTACTTCTTGTGTTGGCATAGCTCCTTCGCCCTTTCACTTACCTCTCTACATAATCTGTTATGTAGCTGCTGGGGTAAGAGGGAAGGGGAATACTATAGTTTCATTTCAGTGACAGCTATGAGTCTGTGGGGGTTGCTGTCCTCAAATCCAAGATGGCAGAGCCCAGAAGTCTCAGGGCTTTGAATGTCTATACAAGGGAGGCTTTTACAAGTGAATAACATGCATAAAACATGTTAAATGGACATATACTCTTATGGGAGAATTGTTGTTGAAATGAATGGTCTAGAGAAAGGTTCTCTTGAAGTCATCTTTACTGTTGCACATACTACACCTCTCTAGAATACAGTGCAGAAACCTGCAGCATGCTCAGCACACAAAGCACAGATAAAAGTGAATTGACACTATATTAGCTGTTAAAATTGCATAATATGTAATCAAATTATGATGTATGAGTGAGCATATGTTGACACAATCATGCAAAGAGAGAGGGTTGTGTAATTTAAAGGTTTAGTGTACATTCCCACATAACTTTATGTATGTTGTTTAACATATTTGTATTACATTGATAATGTGTACAGATGTGGGTTATACAGATGCTGTAGGCAGGGCCGCCGTCAGGGGGGTACGGCTGATATCCATGTAAGGGGCCCGACCAGCCTTCGGGGCCTGCCCGGGAACCTTACATGAGTATCGGCCAACGGTGAAGTGCGAGGACCGCAGAGGCTCTTACAGCGTCTGCCGCGGCGTACAGTAAACTTGGTCCCGCCCCCCCCCCCCCGCCCCCACTTGGTACGGTCCGGGACGGCTCACCCCCCCAACTGCCCCCTGTTCAGTTGGTACCTTCCTGTGCAGGAAAGGTTTTTTGGGGGCGGAGCTTGGGCAACCAGCACTGAGAGCGAGGCGGGAGAGGAGCAGAGCTGAGCTGCTGGTCCTGGACTGCACTGAAGTGGAAAGGTAAGCAGACGTCTGGGGGAACAGCAGCAGTATGGTGTCAGACGCTGGGGTGGGGGCCCACTGGGGAGATGGGCATTGGCAGAGGACAGCAGCAAGCAACTGGTGCCCAAGGCTCATAGGGGCCCGACGCTGGGGTCCAGCATTGGTCCCCTATTCAGCCATGGGCACCAGCTGCTTGGTGGGGGTTCACTGGGGGGAGTGTTTGGAGAGGACAGCAGCCAGTAGCAGCAAGCAGCTGGTGCCCAAGGCTGGTAGGGGCCCGACGCTGGGGCACAGCATCGGGCCCCTATTCAGCCTTGGGCACCAGCTGCTTGGTGGGGGCCCACTGGGGGGTGTGTTTGCAGAGGACAGTATCAGCAAGCAGCTGGTGCCCAGGGCTGAGAGGGGCCCGAAGCTGGGGCCCAGCATTGGTCCCTTATTTAGGCCTTGTTCACACCGAAAGCGTGTGCATTCCAGAGCAGTAGCAGCTGGAACGCACCGCGATCCCTAACAAACTTCTCCCCGCGTTTTGCGGCGGGAAGGGGTGTAGCGGTGCATTGAATTCAATGGCACCGCTTCAACACCCCCCACCGGCTGCGATCGAACGTGTGGCAAGACTTTGCCACCGTTGCGTTCCACTGCAAACGCAAAAAATAGGGCTTGCTCCAGCGCGTCGTCACTCAGCCCCCTTTCCAGCGGGTCACTAATCCCAGAGTCCATTGCGTCACTAAGGTTTAGTTCACACCATAAGCAGTGCGTTCCGGTCCGATTCTGGCCGGAACGCACTGCCCGCATTGCGGGCGGCTCACTTATTTGCCGGGCTGAAGGGGGCATGGTGGGCCATTGAAATAAATAGCACCGTAGCCACTCCCTCCGGCCGCAATGCGATCGCCCGCAAGGGATCGCAAGGCACATTGTGCCTGCAGTGCAATCAAAATAGTGCTTGCAGCATTTTTATTGCACCACACCCGAACGCACTGGCGGTACAATGTGCCTTGTGATCCCGTGTGGGTGATCGCATTGCAGCCAGAGGGCGTGGCTACTGTGCCATTCACTTCAATGGCCCGCCACTCCCCCTCCAGCCTGGCAAAAAAGTGAGCCAGCCGCAATGCGGGCAGTGCGTTCTGGCCATAATCGGACCGGAGCACACTGCTTATGGTGTGAACTAACCATAAGCCCTGCGTCCAGTAGACATGTGCGATTCGTTTGGGAAAAATTAGTTTTCCGGATGAAATTTCGTTAGCGGTCGTCAGTACGCATTTTCGTTTGTGGACAAATTTTCATTGCAGCAAAGTGACAATTTAAAAAAAAATTTTA